CCAGTTGTCTTGGTATTTTTCAGCAGGACTATTTTCAGTTGTGGTTGTTTTTTTTTTTTTATTAATACAACGGTTGGCTTGGCCAGTCACATGATCAATTGTGGTCATTTCAGGTGCAGGTATAAAGAGACAATAGGACATTGACAAAAATATGTGAACCCTTCATTCAAGTGGCTTGCAAATAAAGTGCATCATAAGCTAGCAATTCATTTCTAAGAGTTGCAGAATCTGCATTCTAGAGCTTCTCATGTAGGTCACACATGGGGATTTTCAGCTGATGATGACACAGGTATATAAATATTCACCAAAGTACGGGGTTGAGAAAGATACACCCAATATCATGTTTCACAGCTGCAACCCGGCATACTTGAGTCACTGTTAACCCGTTCAGGGCAGTGTCATCGTCTTGTTAGTCAGTTTATAAACAGAATTTGTAGCAAGAGGAGCACATGTAATTAGGCTTTGATGGAAGCTTCCATTCCCCAAATTATGTTCCACAAGCTAGGTCATAGCGTGGAAGCTAAACTTTATCAGAAACGTCTCCCTGGAAGTAGCTTACAGCACCCGAGTTGAGGAATGGCTCTGTCAATGCTTGTTCACAAGGCCATATAGACTAAACTGATTTTTATGTTGTCACCTTTTTACAAACCATTTATAAGACCCTGAAGAAGGAACTGAAGCTCCTCTCCTGTTTCTGAGGCCTCCAGGTAATGGCTAGCCATTGTACATAATGCAGTGCCATCAGGCAGCACCACTGCAGCTGCAAATTGCTGGTTTGTAGACTGCCATTTGGTTCCTGGAAGATACAATCCTTTCATCCAAACAATCATTATGTTGGACAATCCCGTCATTACATCTATGACCAGCATTGCACAGCCACTATTGTTAAATAACACCTTACGGAGATGTACTATCCATCTAGTCTATTACAGAGTTGCTCCATGCAAAACAATCCATCATTTGACCAAACAGATGTGTCTTCCGATGAAGTTTAAGCCTGCACCATGATAAAATACAGTATATATACAAAACATATCAATAGGATCTCCGTTGGGGTGTATATATTGTAGCTGACTTGTAGTATTGTTGCTTATGGAGATAGGCCTTCATGGTTAAAACAAGCCTTTCGCCAAATTCCAGTTCCGCATAAAACAGCTCTCGGTAAAGGAGACTAGAAATACTCATCTCTTCTGCTGCCACGAGCTGCACCTTCTGACATTTCAAGTATCTCCAGGTCAAAAGCTACATTCTGGCCTTCACTTCCAACTCCCTTCCCTAATGCCATCTACCCAATTTGAACACTCCTGTCTCCATGACCCTTCCGGTGTGAGTGATTTCTCTGATTTACACCTTTACATCTACATCTCTACTCGAAGGCCAAGGTCCTACTCTTCTCTCATATGTTCAGTCAATGGCATAGTGATCTCTAAAAACCACATAACCCAGCAGACTGAACCCAAACTCCATACTGCAAGGATTAAGTGCTTGTTATTGTCTAGGGGCTGGAGTAAAGCGGATTCATTTACCTGATCCCCACTCCTACCGTCTCCCCTAGGGCTGCTAGACTGGTCCCTGTAGCCTCTTCTCCCCTGGACTCGGGCCGACTAAAGACATCTTCACGTCTAATGCTGGGTCCATAGACCAAAGAACATTCCACCAGCTAAAGCGGAGAGGGGAGAAGGAACAGGCGACGGAGGAGTGGGGATGAAGTACGTAAAGGTGCTTCACTGCAGCGTACAGACAAAAACAAGCCTCACTGCCACACACCGAATGGGTACTTTTTTTGGTTGGCCCAGAAATGGGCTTGAGGTTTCTTCTGAAACCAACACTTGCAGGAATATGGATCTCCTGTATCCCTTGCAGCACGCCGTTGTTCCTCTCGCTGACTCCCACATGGGACCATGAGATCTATACTGATGGAAATGGCGTTTTCGGAAGAAGCTTCCCCCGCCATTTTATCTTCAATGGAGCGGCGCTCTTCAGCAGAAGAGATGAGTATTCCCATTCATTCTTCTTTACAGGCAGCTGTTTTATTTGGAATTTGAGATTGGCGACAAGGTCACTTTAATACAGGCATTGATGTATGACACCGGGGGTTACATGGTATTGTTTTTAGATAACTGTTCTTAGTGTTCTTTTAACTCCTTACCACGACTATTGATATGGCCCTTTAATGTGGAGGCGGGCTTCCCGATCATGTGATCGCTGTGAATGTCTTAGCAATCTTGGAGGGGAACTGCTGCACTCCTTACCGGAACCCCTATGTATAAAGGAGGGTGCTCTAGTAACCACGGACGGCGCCGTGGATCTTCAAATATATGATACATGTCACCAGCACACCTACAGTATGTCTTGTGTCAATAATCCATCTTCTTTATTGATGCAGACTGTCACAAAACGTTTCGGGGGCCACGCAGGGTCCCCTTCATCAGGTTTTAGCATGGCTGTTGTAGCAGTCACATGATTGGTAGCCCTTCCCACCGACTCCCAAACATATATAGTGACTGGGAGCTGTCATTGACTCCTCGGAACCTGTTCTAGGAGCACGCTCTCAGCACAGGGCAGCGGCCCGGCTGATATATGCGTACAGCCACCGTTATGGCCCACTCGGCAAAGGAAAACATTCTTTGTAGATGATATGATTTGATATTTGGATGATCCAAGCTCTAAGGGAATATTATACCTTTGGCATATTCATAAGTGATCCATAGGGCAGGCAAGCATCTGGAATTAGTAGAATTGCCGCCATTGAGAAGTGTCCGTCACACTCCGCACATCAATCTATAAATGATTTGCGGGCGCTCTCCTTATAATTGCACTTTATTTTCATGATAGACTCCTATTAGAGGACATTTATTGAGGAGAGAAAGAAAGTGTTACATGATCCACACCCCGCAGGTAATCCCCGAGCCTTTGTGCAGGCTTCAGATGATCAAAAGGTGCTTCTCTCTAATTGATGACAAGCCTCGTTATAAGACGTCTTTATGTGACAATGTCACTCACTGCCCAATATGTAATCATGACATGTTATTCTCCTCCGTAGAACAGAGAGAGTAAGCATTCACATCCTATTTCCATACTCTAATCAAGAGCAAAGAGCTCTGTATATGCCACGACCCGCAGCAACCAATCAGAACTCATCTTTTATTGATGTAAACTTTGTGTAGAGTAGCGAGGGGTCAACACGCATCAGATTTGTTTGTTACACATTAAACTAAATGCCAATCAGCACATCTACTTTAATGCAACATATCTGCATAAAATGCACAATCATGGCACACGGGGACTGCAGACTGTGCGCAGCATGTACCTCCAGGGCCGGTGCTACAACTAGGCAGCTGACTAGGGCGCAGCCTCAACCTCTCACCCCCACACGGTGCCCCCCCCCCCCCCTATATATTTCAAATTGCAAAAGCCAATAGCAGGCTGGCTATCGCACCCGCCCACTGACCAGAGGAGTGGAACTGAGAAACGACTTTCTCTCTCTGCTCAGTGGGCGGGGTTTCAATAGCCAACTTGCTATCGGTTATTTGAAATAGCTAATAGCAGTCCGGCTATTGCTCGTGACATCCACCAGTCACCTGTAGAAGCTAGCTGGCAGAAAAATGGGGCTTTGCCGGGGGGTGGGGATTGGGGGTTGCACCATAGTAGGGGGGCTGCAAGTAGCTGGTCTTGACTAGTCTAGCACCGGCCCTGTGTACCTCTACCAGATTTCTGAACGGATCGTATTGGCTATGTGTGCGCACATCTGCGCTCTCCTGCGAACTCACAACACCAGCGTATAATCTTCATAGCGATTGTTTCCTTGCCTTTGCACATTTCCTTTTAGTAAATCGGGTCGGCTGTCCCCTATATGTGGAGAAGGAAAGTCCTCCTGAACCGAAGTGTCAGTGTTTTGGGTGAAGCTGTACAGCTTGTTTTTCCGATCCATCCAAAGCTCAGACTTATCCACATTCTATTCTCGCTAAGCAGCCTAAGTATTAAAACATCATTAGTGTTCCAGTCCAACTGGTTTCTGGGCTCATGATTTCATTCTTTTTATACTCAAGCATCTTGTTTAATGTTACAAAGTAATACTGAAGTGGTTTTCTGACAGTGCTAGGAGTGGACCGTGCCTGTGTGCTGTGTGTTGAAACGGCCACTTGTAGTCTCCATGCAAAGCCCATATGACAGGGTGACAATGCAGGAGTAATATTAAGAGGCAGGCACAGTGCCTTGTCATCTTATATCATCAAAAGCCTGTACAAGGACCTTCATGGCAGGAGCTATTTTAATGGAAGCTGCAGATTTAAAAATACTGAAAGGTGCTTTTGAAATTCCATTAGAGCTGAACTCTGTGCTCAAAAACTTGAATTGAAAGATATATAAATATATAAATAAATAGCCACAAAGGTTATAAATCCACTTTGTGCGCACCAAATATATACCGCCTTTTCAGGTCGAATGTATGTAATATAACACCACATTATGGCCACTAGATGGACCTGAGAAGCATAGGAAATAAGCATTTATTTCCAATGCTCCTCAGCTCCACCTAGTGGCCATAATACAGTATTGCATTACATACATTCGACCTGACAAGAAAATATATCTCAGAATGTTTGTTTTGGGATCTTTTTGCACAGAATGAACATTCAGAAGATTTATAGGATGAATGGCTCTGCAGATTGATTATAAACAGACCCAGTAGTGATTAATGACTAGCAATTATAGTAGTGCAATGTGCTACCAAAAGCCACCCATGTGTTCCTAGTCTCACTGGAAACCAGCGGCGACGCTGTGTCAGTATCACAGCTACCGACATCTTTTCAAGGGACAGTTACAGCAAAGTCTTTGCAATTGGCAGCACCGGGAGAAGGAAATGGGAACAATTGGTTGCTGTGGGTGAAGTTCCTTTATTCTTTGATCCAGTTTTGAGCCGTCTCTGCCATGTCTTAGTATGAAGTTCCCCCATCTTGTGCTGTAAATGTAATATTCTCTTATCTGTTCCTTGTCCCCAGTTACGGTCACCACGTGCAGCATTTTAAGGTACTTCGAGAAAAATCCGGAACATACTACCTGTGGGAAACCAAATTCGGCTCGCTCAATGAACTTGTGGAATTTTATCGATCGAATTCCATCGCCAAAACCCATCCGGTGCTCCTGAAAGATGAAGAGGAGAAGGTAATTATCTTGGGAGGTTAATCGGGTTCACCGTATATAATTCAACTGCCTGATTTAATCCCAATTCCAGACAAAACCTTCTTTTCCTTTTGTTTGCATTGTTGGCATTAGTGACGTCCTTTAATCATTTTCCGTCTGTTTGTGTCCCGGGTGTTTACAAGCCGAGCTGGGCGCACAACTCGCAATAAAATCTTTGGCTGGGGCACCGTGTCATTATTTTGGTATTAACTCTCATCCAATCAGACACGCCGTTGCCTTTTTTTACAGGTGGCAAACCCTAAGCCTATAACGCCGTAAAGATTCACTTTGAGAAATGCTGCATACCAATAATTACTGACATGCTTCAGGCATTCGGACCTGCCCAGCTTGTGCACATGGCTCAACGTCAGACACATTCATAGGCAAGTGGTGTTTATAGTGTTACAGTGTAGGAGCGTCTTCTCGTGAGATCTGGGATCCTTTATAATGTAGGAGCTCCTGGAGTTTCTTGCTGTGTCTCCTGCCTCCTCAATGGACCATCCCAAGCCTCATGAGAAGATGCTCCAGCACAGTGTAGGAACATCTTGTGAGATCTGGGATCCTTTATAATGTAGGAGCTCCTTGCTTTGTCTCCTGCCTCCTCAATAGACCATCCCAAGTCTTGTGAGAAGATTCTCCAGCACAGTGTAGGAACATCTTCTTGTGAGATCTGGGATCCCTTATATTGGAGGAGCTCCTGGAGCTCCTTGCTTTGTCTCCTGCCTCCTCAATAGACCCTCCCAAGTCTTGTGAGAAGATTCTCCAGCACACTGTAGGAGGATTTTCTCATGAGATTTAGGATCCTTTATAACGAAGGAGCTTTTTGAGCTTCTTGCTGTCTCCTCAATGTAGCATCCCACATCTCATGAGAAGATGCTCTAGCACAGTGTAGCAGCGTCTTTTTGTGATATTTAGGATCCTTTGCAACAGAGGAGATCCTGGAGCACCTTCCTGTGTCTACTGTCTCCTGAATGGACCATCCCAAGTCTCATGAGTAGATGCTTCAGCACCATGTAGGAGCATATTCTCATGAGATTTAGGATCCTTTATAACGAAGGAGCTCCTTGCTGTGTCCCCTGCCTCCTCAATGGACCATCCCAAATGTTGTGAGAAGATACTGCAGCACAGTGTAGGAACATCTTTTTGTAATATTTAGGATCCTTTATAGCGGTGGAGCTCCTTGCTGTGTCTCCTGCCTCCTCAATAGACCACCCCAAGTCTTGTGAGAAGATGCTCCAGCACGGTGTAGGAGCAAACTCTCATGAGATTTAGGATTCTTTATAACAAAGGAGCTTCTGGAGCTTCTTGCTGTGTCTACTGTCTCCTCAATGGACCATCCCAAATCTTGTGAGAAGATACTCTAGCACAGTCTATGAGCCTAGACTGTGCTAGAGTATCTTCTCACAAGATTTGGGATGGTCCATTGAGGAGACAGTAGACACAGCAGGAAGGAGTGTCCTAACCTGGGCCACTGTACTCATGGTGTGCATTACATAATATGGACCTCTGCACTCTGTCCAACATGCTGTATACTGAATAAGCTGGACCACTACATTCTGTACACAGTGACACACAATTCAGGATATGGAACTCTGCACAAAGTACACTATTTTGTATGTTGCACACAGGGGACCGCTGCACTCTGTATATTATGCTTTATATTTAGGTTACATAGTCTGGACCACTGTGTTCTATATTCTGCGCTGTGTATTTCATTAGGTGGACCACTTCAATATGCTATACACAACATAGTCCAGACTGCTGAAATCAGTATTTGATACCATTCAACAAACAGAACAGCAAGAAATGGGCAACACATGCAGGACTACGGGGCAGTACTCTCCATTGAAGGTGGCACCCCGGCAAATGTTTACATTGTCCTGACTGCAGTTCCCTTTTTACTTCTACAGTTCTGTATCATAGAAAAAGAGAGTGAGAGGAACTAGGTTGGGTTTCACTTCTGCTATCATCTGGCAGCGCTGAGCCCATGGGACCTCTGAGCTGGTGAATGCAGGTGGGGACGGCCATGCATGAATACGTACATTCATTCTACATTCATTCCGTCTAAAGGCGTTTGCTCTGTTCTCTTTCCGCTTCACTTTGTTTTAACAAATTAAAAATATGTTTATTACGACCCAGATACAATTAGGATTGCCACCTGTCCGGGATTAACCTGGACAGTCTGGGTTTTGGGTCCTGTATGTGCTGTGCTTCAGGCCAGATGAAACCCAGACACAAGATCTCCCTCTCTCCTCGGTGTCTCTCCTCACTCTCATGGCTGCCTCTCCTAGCTGTCTCACCCGCTTTCTCTCCTGGCTGTCTCTACTCCCTCTCCTGGCTGTTTCTACTCCCTCTCCTGGCTGTCCCTCGCTCCTTCTCCTGGCTGTCTCTCCTTGCTTCCTCTCCTGGCTGTCCCTCCTCGCTCCCTCTCCTGGCTGTCTCACCTCGCTTTCTCTCCTGGCTGTCTCTACTCCCTCTCCTGGCTGTCTCTCCTTGCTTCCTCTCCTGGCTGTCGCTCCTTCTCCTGGCTGTCTCTCATTGCTCCCTCTCCTGGCTGTCTCTCCTTGGTCCCTCCCCTGTCTGTCTCTCCTTTCTCTCTCTCTTGGCTGTCTCTCCTTGTTCCCTCCTGGCTGTCTCTTCTCTCCGTCTTTCCTGGTTGTCTCTCCTCTCTCGCTCCTGGCTGCCTCGCCTCACACTCTCTTCTGGCTGTCTCTACTCCCTCTCCTGGCTGTCCCTCGCTCCTTCTCCTGGCTGTCTCTCCTTGCTCCCTCTCGTGGCTGTCTCTCCTTGCTCCCTCTCGTGGCTGTCTCTCCCTGCTCCCTCTCGTGGCTGTCTCTCCTTGCTCCCTCTCGTGGCTGTCTCTCCTTGCTCCTTCTCCTGGCTGTCCCTCCTCGCTCCTTCTCCTGGCCGTCCCTCCTCGCTCCTTCTCCTGGCTGTCTCTCCTTGCTCCTTTATTTAGCTTGTATGCAGCCAGAACTACATGAACAATGCCCTTGTTGAGTGACTTGTTATAGGAGGACAACATTCTGCCCTTGTCTGCCAATTGTGCTCCTGCGTTGTCACCCGGGCTTCCGATGGAGCTGTTTTAACACACACAGGCATGAAGCCGCCCATGCAGCCATGTCTAGAGTGCATGTAGACAAATGGCTGCGAGGAGGCTGCAGGGGATTAGCAGCACTAAGATACCAATTGATTGCAGATGATGAAAGGGGCAATTGTTTATGATATCATTGAGTTAGGGTTTACAGGTACATTATGTTTGTGTCATGTATATTTGTCTCTATATGCGGTATAAGAAAGTTCCAGGATAATAAAGGGAGATTTTTATCGGGAGACGGGTGTGTTCAGTGGGATTGGCTTCATCGCAGGCCGTTTTGTGAAGTCAATCACCTCATAGTTGGCAGGTTTTCAAGTCTTTATTGTACTTTATTGTAGCTTCATTACAGTGGTGCTGAAAAATGCCGGGCCCGCCCCGCCCGCAGGTGCCGAGTCTGCGTATGTAGTTGTAAGAGCAATAAGTGATTGAGATCGATGTGTGTCAGGACTGTCCTGGCACTCTTATGGTTATGGAACCTCCCCACCCACGAGACAGAACGAATGCTGGGACATGTTACTCAAGATGTCTGAAGAGTGTGTTGTCTCTAGCAACCAATCAGCATCTGTTCTTCATCAGTCCCACACACCCCTCCAATTTTTTATCATCACTATAGTTGAAAACGATTGTCGCTTTGACCCCATTAACTATCAGAATTTCAAACGGATGTTTCAAGAGGAACTTTTTTATTAAATTCTGCTGGTGTATGGCCATCTCAAGTGTGACTGTGCAAAGGTTGGTGGAACTGCTAAAGATCCAGACGGATGAAGATCCAGACCACTGAAGATCACGACAGCTGAAGAGCCTGACCGCTAAGGATCCAGACCGATGAAGATCCTGACCGCTGAAGATCCAGAGCGCTGAAGATCCAGACCAGACTGCTGAAGATCCAGACCAGACCGCTGAAGATCCAGACCAGACTGCTGAAGATCCAGACCAGACTGCTGAAGATCCAGACTGCTGAAGATCGAGACCAATAAAAATCCAGACCACTGAAGATCAAGACAACTGAAGATCCAGATCGCTGAAAAGTCAGACCGATGAAGATCTAGACTACTGAAGAGCCAGACCACTGAAGATCCAGAGCTGTGGGAAGGGCGCAGCAGCTCCACCCGCTACAGACTGCCTGCAGAAAACTACAGGAGGGGGCGGAGACAAGACCAGTCACCCTGTACAAGGAGAGAGCAGCAGTGACCGGTCTTTATTACAGGAGGGGGCGGAGACCAGACCAGTCACCCTGCAGAAGGAGAGAGATCAGCAGTAACTAGTCTCTATTACAGGAAGCTCCAAGTCTCACACTGGATTACTGCACAGATCTGGAAGAAATACACTGACCAAGATCCAAGGAAGAATACACAGGACTCTTGTATGAGGACAATATTTGCTGATTTGGGGGTTTAGCTATACCCTGCTTACTTGTACATGATCTGGGTGTATTTGTAATTGAATCCTATGTCGGTCCCCGTCCTCGAGCTTTCATCTCTGGGATTACGGCTAATGTTCTTTTCTTCTCTTCTCCACAGAGGAAAAAGCTTTTTGTCCAGGCTCAGTACGACTTCCGATCGGAGAAGACCCACGAGCTCTCTTTCCAGCGAGGGGAGATCATTGAGGTCATGGACAGTTCGGATCCCTGCTGGTGGAATGGAAGAATTTCCGGGAGGGTCGGCCTCTTCCCTCGAAACTACGTCAACCAGATCCACATGTGATGGAGGTGACCATCGCGCCTCTTCCTAATGACTCTGAGACTGAGGTTTGTCAGCCGGTGACAACAACCTCAACCCAACTGAGAAAAGGTGGCACACAAGGGCCACCTTCATTTTCTTATCATTGTAGTGAAAGACTTTTCTATGGATTTCATTGTTTTTTTGTTTTTTTAGCTTTATTCGTCTAGGAACAGGAAATCTTCTTTTATTATTAAAGGAACAATAATAGCACATAAAACAAATTATACTTGTATGTTGGCATCTCAAGTAATGCTCTAAAACAGGCAACCTCGGCATTCCAGCTGTGGTAAAACTACAAATTTTCTGGGAGTCATGCCTGTGGCTGTCAGAGTCTTGCAATGCCTCATGGGATTTGTAGTTCCCCCACACCTGGAGTGCCGAGGTTGCCTACCCCTGGAGTAGGGAATAGTTACTTTTTGTTTGCCCTGTTGGGGAGATTTCCCTTCACCTTCCCAGAGACACAGCAGAAAGTGAGAGGAGATCTCTCCAAAGGCAGTTTTGACCAGGACAAGTGTCCCCATTGGATGATTTCCCCTCACCTCCTGTTTCTGTTTCATGTTGGTTTTCCAATCATCATCATCGTCAGCCCATCATAGACCATGGATACCAGGACCACATAGAGGAGACAATGATCACCACAATAAATATGGTGAATCTACCAGCAGAACAGAGGTGGGCAACTCACCCAGGGGTGGGCAACTCCTGTCCTCCAGCTGCTGTGGAACTACAAATCCCATGACAGGACTGACAGTCACAGGCATGACTCCCAGAGGCAGAGGCATGTTGGGATTTGTTAAAGCACAACTGTAGGGCCAGAGTTACCCACCCCGGATATAACACTTCCACCTCCTATCCAAAATGAAAAACGTTTTGGCATGTTAAACCCCCTTCCAGCATCAGGGAAATTCCAGTTTTCAGTGCTGTGATAGTGTGACTGACAATTACTCGGACATGCAACTAGGGTGGCCACCTGTCCACGATTCACCCGGACAGTTCGGGTTTTGAATGCTGTGTCTGGGTTTCATGGCAGCAGAAACCCGAACGCATGATGTCAGGCAGACAGGGGCAACCAAAATTAGGATAGGGCTACTGGCCCCCCACTGAAAATAGACTGAACTGTGATATTTCCATATTAATAGGTGACGCTATTTACATATGAATACGTTGCGACCCATTCTTCCAAAAAAATGTCCGCGCATCGCTAGAGTGTGTTTGGGTTTCGCTTAAAGGAGAACTATGGGGTCAGGGCTTTTCCCCATAGTTTCCCAAAGGGTAACGGGAGGACACAAACTAGCGTCCTCCCGTCACCCTAAGCTCAGTGTACCGCAAGCTACAGCTCACTATATACTGAGACGCCGCAGCCGGAACGGATCCCGGCAATGCTGTCTGGATCCACCTAGCTGCGTGAGTGACAGCTGGCTATGCCTACCCGCCCCCTCCCCCGTCCGTTCCGCCAGTCAGCACTGGAGGATCGGACAGGGGAGCTGGGGAATCCCTGCAGGGAGCCGTGAGTGACAGTCACGGCTCTCTGCAGGGAGAGAATCGAGAAGTGAGCGAGCGATGGTATGTGTTCGCTCACTTCCCGATCTACTGAGCCGACCTGTGACAGTCTCATTGTCACAGGTCGGCTCAGATTATGAGGCTGAGTGAAAATCACTCGCCTCCTAATTCTCCTCTAAAGAAAAGGTGACAACCCGACATGCGACACTGTAACCAAATCAACGTGATATCATTGTTATGACACTGATACATCTTTCTTTTGCTGGTATTTAATAACCTCTTTTTTTCATCATTTGTACCATTGATATGCATTGGTCGGCCCTCAAGAGGTTCAGTGACGGCTCCATCAATGGCCCTTCATTGTTCAAAGACCCTTTATTGTTGAAGTGTGTTATTTATTAATGACATAGATGTATATAAAAACATTTTCTGGTTTTATACATAGGATTTATTTTTGTTTTGCCTGGAATGTGCCTTTTTTTGTGCCTCTGTAGACCAGCCGGCCGGACACAAATCGAAGCGGGCCGGTCATTGCTTTTAACCTCCATGGCGGTAATCCCGAGTGTGGCTTGGGGGTTCATTTTCAGTACCATAAGCAGTAACCCCCGAGCCACACTCGGGATTA